TCCAGTAAGCAGTTCCCGCTGGGCACGGGTTTGTTTATCCTGCCTTTCTGAAGTCAGAGCCAACATTCTTAATGGTTTTGAGTGATTCAGAATGTTTCTTTTTTGGCAGGACCAATTTCCACACATGGGCTTATGACTAAAACCCCTTAGGTGAGGTCCAAAGCAGAAACCAGCCTTACACTTCATGTCATATTTTAGAATCGTCTTATTTTAGAGCAAAAGGAAAACTGCCCAGCACAGCCAGCTTATTTAGGACGTGAAGAGACGGAAGCAGGGAGGCTTTGGCCAGCCAGAGGTCACAGGGCTGCGGGAGAGGCCAGTCTGAGCCAGGCCCCTGGGTCCGGAGCCCAGGACTCCTTCCTCGGCACTGCGCAGCACCCCGTCCAAACCTCAGGACAAGGTGCCAGCATGTCCTTGGCCTCCCGCTGAAAGAGGCAGCCTGCCCTTTGAGGATTGTTTAGAAAATGGCTTAGGTCAGAAAGGAGAACTTCATTTTTTACAAAATGAAACAAATCAGTTATTTGCCATAGGCAGCATTTTCAAAACACCCTTTGTCGGTATGTTGTAAACGTATTAGCTCCTGGACAGAAACAAGACTAAGAACGTTTCTATCTATATGCCAAAATAAGAGATTCGATAGACCTCCTTTTTCTTTTTTTTGGATGAGAGTTCAGTTATGCCACACTAGTTCCTAATAAAACAAACTCTGAATCCTTACCACAGGAGAAAGAATTGAGCAATGTTCTAAGAACATGTTGTACTCTTCAGGGCAGTGAGTAAATGTAATATTTAGAAGATGCTCTAGAAGCTAGAAAGTGCCTCTTGGCGACAGAGTGGAGGGAGACATGGCAGAAAGGACTAGATAGAGAAGTCGAATCAGCCGGAGGAGGAGGACTTAGGAAGAGCCATTGACACACCTCCTTTCTGCTTGTCTGGGGACTTCGGGGGTCACGAACTCCACTGGAGAGGACTCATTCCCTCATAAAGCAGGGGGTGAGCCAGCCGACCCCTGCTGTGCCACTGTCCCGAGAGCCAGAGACTGGCCACGTGTGGCGTCCCCAGAAAAGGACCTGAGCAGGTGCTTGGCCCTCACCACGTGCTGCACTGTGCCAGCAGCTTCCTCCACAAGTGCATGAGACCACGGTGCGGCCTTTACGTGTGCACGGGACAACGACTGACCCAAGAGCGTAAGTAATTTGTCTAAGGAAGCAAAGCAAGTCAAAGAAATGAGACTTGCACCCAGATCTCTCTGCCCAGAGAGCCCTGCTGTGGTGTAACTCCTACACCTGCTTTTTCCAGGTAGCATTTACGCAACTGTCATTTGCTGCTTTTAAAAAAAATTGTATTTTAATGGCATGATTATTACAAAGCATGTTTCCCCCCAAGACTGTAAACCAGGTATGTTGTAAATATCAAGTTAAGCATCTCCAGCATGATCTTTTAGTAGGAGGAATTGTTCACTGGTCCTAGAAACCCTGCCATTTTTTCCCGCCTCCCAGTTCATGGAAACAGTGTGCAAATAAAGTTACCTTGTGTTTAGCTTCTAGCGTGATTTTGGAGATAGATAACAATATTTTCCCCCATCACCTGTGCCATCTTCATTTTTAAGATAGGCACTTTATTTTAAAAAGAGCTACTAAGGAGAAGAATCTGGCTGTGTTAGGGCCACCAGTGTGTCCAGCGTGGCCTGTTGTCAGGCCACTTCAGGGGAGCCAGGGCTGTTCACGTGTGTGGTTGAGGAGAGCGTGCCTCTTCTGTGCCGGGGTGAAATGGTTGGTTGTTTTTCTTCTTGCTTTGTTTATTTGTATGTACTTAAAAAATTATTGATCTGACAAATGTTTCGAATTGAAGCCATGGATAAAAGTTTCCTAACAGAAAATCATACCATAAATTGGGAAAATGGGACAGAATGCAGTGTGTGTTGTTTTTTTCTCCAGATCTTTATGTTTCACATTGGCTTAGAATACCCCCTAACCCTCCCTTGCTGTTTTTCTTGGAGCGGGTTCCTTATTAATAGCCTACTTATGCGAAGGGAACGGATTCCAGGTAGAGGCTTTGAGTTAGGTCCCTGCCTGACCGAGTGCCGCATCCTTCCCCTCTCTTCTCTGTTAGGCTGAGTTCGCCGTGCACCTGCAGTTGCGTGGAAAACATCTCCCCATCCCAGCTGTGCATGGGAAAGCCACTGCAGTGTTTCACCCCCAGTGTGGGTGTCGTTCAGGATCCTGTGACATCATCATCCCCCTCGGCCTTCTAAAGGAGCTGGGGTTGGGATGGGGGCTCGTTTTGGGCCCAAGGGCATTTTACAGGGTATTATTTAATCTGTTCTCTGTCTCCAGCCCAAACTGCCCTACAGACAAAAGGGTACCTTTTCCATTAGTGAACGCTATTTATTAAGGTTCCTGAGAAAAAGGGGACCCCATCCCCTCTGGGACCACACCCTATTGCCTGTTGCTCACATCTCTGTGGAGATGGGGGTAGAAAGCCCTTGGGAAACCTATTCTGACCCCGAAGTCTGGTGCCTTACCTCTGGGCCCCGGAGCCCTGGAGTTGGCCTGTTGTGGTGTTTGCCCCAGGGTATAACTGTTGTCTGTTTCCTGGTCTCTGTCCCCTCCTGGCTGGTAAACCCCAGAAGACTGGCCCCATGTCCTGTCACTCATGTGTCACCAGCAGTGCTTCCCACGTGTAAGGTCTTTATAGACACTCAACTCCTGCCATCCCTGATCTCAGCTGACTTTCACTGTATGTGTGTGTAGGGGGTGCACCCTGGGGTGCTCTCTCGTGCACACCTCCTGCTAACCTGTCATCTCAGTTCCTGGCTGGCGAACTTCCCAAAGGCAGTGGCTCTGCTCCATCCACCATGGTCTTCAACCCCCTACTACCCTCAGACATGGTTTTCCTGTCCCCTCCCTGGAGTCCTCCCTTTTCCCACCTGCCCAGGCCACCCCTGGTGAGCCCAGCTCAGGCCCCTGTCCTCTGCTGTGTCACTGATCCCTCAGCCTGCCCCAGGCCCATCCAGTCCCAAGTGACACTTGAGCACTTTCTTTGTCCCTGTGCATTAGACTTCGTTCCACAATTAGATTATAAGGTCTCATAGAAACATATCCACATTATCTACTTAGGTACTTTTCTGGCAGTGTGTAGCATAGTGCTGGGCTCTTGGGGGGAGTCAGAGAGCACACTTACTGCCTGGCTTTAAGAGGTCTGTCCCTACATATGGTTGGAATGGCTGTGGCTCTGCAGCCTGGCTGTTGGCCAATCCCTCCAGGCAAGATGTGATGTGTCCCTCCCGTGAACATGGCTCACAGGGGCTGGCGCCTCCTGTTTACTCTTGCCACGCCCTGTGGCTTCCGTGGGCACCCTTGTTCCTCCATCACTGTCTGTTTATGTGTTTCCTTACACTGGACTCGCTCTCCAGTTTGCTCTCGTGTCCTCTGGGCTTCTGGTAACTCCGTGACTCAGTGGCGAGTGAATGGATCAGACGGAAACAGGTGGAATATCCTGATCCTACTTTCAGATCATATCTGTCTTTTCCCAGACTCTTGACTTCTTGTTTTGACATCCCTTGGCCTGCCTTTTTCTCCCAGAGAAGCCCCCAGATCCACTCACAGCCTCGATTTACTGATGCCCAATCTTATTTTAGTCTTTGACACCATTTTAACATAGTGATTGTATAAGCCTGAAAATTTTATCCAAAATGATAGATGTGCCATCCCCTCGCAGGAGAACGTGGTGGTGGTGGGGGGTGGAGGGTCAACATGTATTGAAAATCTATGTACCATGTGCTTATTTGAGTCAGCTCAAATGTTATTATGTCTTCACAATAACTCTGAGAGTTCACATTATTATTTCCACTTTATAAATGAAAAAGGTAATGCTCAAAAAGTGAAGAGCTTGCTCAAGGCTAACAAGTGGCAGAGGAGAAATCTGAACCCAGGCCTTTCTGATCCCAGAGCTTGTGCTGCTTCTGTTTCTATTCCTAGTCGAAACATGCCATTAAATGGGAGCTCACTTAATAGCACTTGGCATTAAAAGGGCAGTTTATGAGGACATTCACTCAAGCAAGCTGGTGCTTGGGAGGAAAGGCAGTGGAAAAGATAATGGTTGATCGATCTGATTCTAAGCAGAGCTTGACCAAAGATAAGCTTCTGAGATCTTTAAGGGTCCAGAGTTTGACTGTTGAGCACCTAACAAGACCTCCTGTGACCACCGACTCCTTGTCAGGAGAAACAGCAGGAGTCCATTAGAGAAGCATGCTCATTGGCTAGGACGTGACTCCTTGCTTTCCTCTTTGGTGGCAGATTGGGTCACAAGCCGCAGACTCAGCTCTGCCCATCGATTAGAATTGCTGAGAGCTGCTGTCGACGGCACAGACTTCCAGTGCTCGAGCAGAGAGCCAGGGGTGTCAGTGGGAAGCTGGAAGTGCATTTGGCAAGCTCTGATCCTCAGAGTGGAGAAACCTTGTCACTAACCCATACAGTTTTCTTGACCAGACCTTTCGGTGCTCTGGTTTTCTCATCTGTAAGTGATGCTCATACATCTGAGTCCCAAGAGGCTGCAGGGTCAGTGGTCATGAAGCCCCCGAAGGCTCTAGAGGAATGAGAGAGGATGAGTGAGGATGAGTGAAATAGCTCTGTAATTAGGTTTTATTATATGCTTTTGAAGGAACAGGGTAATTGGAGGAGGGCTTCCCAGCAGCTTAAATGGAACTCGCCACTTTTCCAAACACTGAAAACTTCTAGAAGGCAGCAGACCGGTGTTGCTCACAGTCTAGCACAGACCTCAATTACTGTTGAAAAGTAAAAGAGCCCCTGTCTTATATTGGTTCCTATCCTCATTTTTATGCTCAGAATATTTTGGAAATTTGCTACTATTTTATAATAGTGTTCAAATATTCCAGAATTCTGTGTGATTTAATAGCGCTACATTGGTTTGAATCTTATGTTTACCCCAACACATCCTCCTCCTCATCTCTACTTCTCACCTTGATATTTTTTTTTTAGACTTGCTTTCTACTATAAGACAGTGTGGAATACAACTATGGCTTTTTCTGACCATTTCTTTTACTGGCCAACCTCTTGGATTTTAATCCCAACTCTCAAGGATCTTCCCAACACATTATGTTCCTGTTGTGATACCATCTTGAAGTGCACGAGCTTCTGGGTCACTAAAGAACATGTTCAATATCACTTGGCTTAAATGTTATGCCTGCGAATCACAAATCGTTTTCTTCACCAGTCAGTTCCAGCCCACGTACCTGGACCATATCTTCCCCATTGGCCAATAAGCACGGCATGCTCTGTGGCCCCGTAATCATTAACTTAGAAATTGCAGCCGGTATAACTTGACAGGACAGAGTTTTCTTCAGCAGACTGCTGAGTCACTCAACCTCTTGGTGAGTAAAACGTGAGTTTTTTGAGATTTAAGCCCCTCGGAAGGACACCTCCTTGTTGCTGCCATGAAGGGACTCCCAGTTTCTGTGGCAGGTCACATCAGCAAGACAACTGAAGTATCTGCTTGAACAATCAGTTTTCAGAAATGAAGACCTCTATAACACTGGCTTCCTCTCTTGTGATGTGGTGAAAGATGCATTCCAGCTGCGAAGTTAGACCGAGGAGAAGAGAATGCAAAGTGGTTTCAATTCTTCTCAATTGCCTCTGCCTGATTCCAAAGCAGTAAAGGAAGATTGTACTTGCAGACTGGTGCTGCCCTCTGCAGGCCTCCTGTGGTATGTTGCTGCTGCAGCGTGAGGTTGCAACACCAGTTTGAAAATAGAAACCTCCTCCTGTCTTCTGTGCAGGGTGCTTTCATGCTCTTTTTCTGTGGTTGGATCTGTAGGTTTATCCCATGTTTTATTTTATAAGATGTCTTGCTGAGCAAACCTTGCTGATCTGCCTCATGTCAGTGGATGGTTTCGTTAGCAATGGCCACACCTCACATTTACCCCAGTACAGAGAGAACACCAGGGTGAGGAGGTGTGTGCTGCTCACTGTACAGCAACTTTCCCAACTTATGTGCCTCAAGCAGGAAGAAGAGGGTGCTTTTTATTTCTCATTTTTTAAACGTGCATCTGTTTATGACACTAGTGGAGGAACGTGCTTAAGAGAAAACAACTGACTTTTACTTCTGCTCTTGCTCTGGGAGTTTTCCTAGGAGTTCTTGATGCCATTTAAATTTCAAGTGCTGATCTTCTGAACAAATGCCTCCTGAGGATCTCTGTGCCTGGAAAATATCCATCAGCAGATTGCCTTTACACTCCTATGTAAGTATAGGCTTGTGCTCATAAATCAACCTCAAGAGAGTTTTGTTTTATTTTGTTACTGGATGATTCCCTAGTAAATTTTTAAAAATGATCATCAGCATTTGATCTGTACTCATTTTCTCTTAACCACACAACTCCCAGTTTACTATCGGGAAAAGTCTGAAACATGAACTCCTGCTTAAAATCAAGGGTACTGATCCCATATTCCAGTCTTAGAATAGGAACAGGAGAAGACAGCAGAAAATATTAAAGGTCTTTATTGCAGTAAATTCAGATGGAGACGCCATTTACGGATCGAAGGGCAACTTTTCCAATTTTGGTATTGGTCAGATGGCTTTGCAGTTAGCTACTCTGGAACGTCTCAGTGTATGGCAGAGTATGCAAAAGCAGGGTCTCCGAGCCCTTTACGAGCTGCGGCAGATCTCTTGGCCACATCTGTTTATTATGTGCTGAAGGAAAACTAATGTATTATTTTTATTATCACAGCTACCATTTCCTGGATACTCTTACACTGCGCTGTCGCTAGTTCAGATTGCTTTATCGTACTTAACCCGATTTCATCCTCACAACCTTCTGTGGTAGGTCGGTTATCATCCTCATTTACAGATGAGGAGACTGAGCTACAGAGAGTCAAGGTAATTTACCCAAGGTTGTGCAGGGAGCTGGTGGCAGAATTTGACATTTAGGCTGTAGAGTCTCTACTTGACCCCCTCTCCATGCCGCCTCCTAGACGCAGGAAACTTAGGAGGGTAAGCTATGAGGCTATGTTTTGGAGGCAGTTTTTTAACATGTGTCATAATTTCATGCATGCTTTGTGAGACTAATCACTAGGCCTTTTGACTTGAGTTTTTCTAGGATTAGTGGGGAAATAAGGCTTTAGAGAAGATGGGACCAGCTTAAGGCCACGCTGCAAATCAGAAATGTGGCTGGGGGTACAGTTTTTGACCATGCAGTGTGAGCCAAACTCCTTTCTCTTTTCTCTTGGTGGGTTGTTTGGTGCTGCTTCTGCTCATCAGGCCCGGCTGGTTTTAATGGTTTGTCCATGAGCTTATTGATGAAACTCTGAAGCTCAGAGCTGGTGACTGTTGAGAGCCCTGTGTGGCCGAGTGAACATGAGCCCTTGTGGTAAACGCAGAGCACTGTGCAGCGAGGAGAGCTGGCTAAATTAGCCAGATGGGGGTTGAGTCCCAGTCTTGCCATTCTCAAACTCTGTGACCAAGAGCAAGTCACGTACCCTTTCTAAATCTCTAGTGCCTTAGCTGGAAAGTGGAGATACCACCAACAACAACGTTAGTTGGTTGTGAATGTTGAGAAAAGCAAACCAAGCACACAGCACAGTGTGTGGCACAGAGCAAGTGTTCCAAAAACGGCAGCTATGATTATTTCTCAGAGTCCCATTTCCATCATTTCTCAGTTCTCTTTGGTCTTCTCCCTGGAAAGACACTCCAGATTTCTGATCCATCTGTTAAAACACTGAACATTAGGCCGGGCGCAGTGGCTCACGCCTGTAATCCTAGCACTCTGGGAGGCCGAGGCGGGTAGATCGCTCAAGGTCAGAAGTTCAAAACCAGCCTGAGCAAGAGTGAGACCCCGTCTCCACTATAAATAGAAAGAAATTAATTGGCCAACTAATATATATAGAAAAAATAAGCTGGGCATGGTGGTGCATGCCCGTAGTCCCAGCTACTTGGGAGGCTGAGGCAGGAGGATCGCTTGAGCCCAGGAGTTTGAGGTTGCTGTGAGTTAGGCTGACACCACGGCACTCACTCTAGCCTGGGCAACAAAGCGAGACTCTGTCTCAAAAAAAAAAGCAAACAAAAAAAAACACTGAACATTCGTATAGTGCTTTAAAAATTACCAACAGTTTCCATACACTGCATTGCCTATGACCCTAACAACCACTGCAGTATAGAAGCTTGTATCTCCATTATCCAGATCAGGATACTACGGTTTCAGAAAAATTAAATGATTTGCCCAAGGTCACATAGCTAGTAAGCAGCACAGCTAGGTCCTATGTGACTTGTTTATCTGCTTCCTGTAAGCAAACATTCACAGAAAACACGCAGGGCAACAGAGGATGACATACAACTGTGTGATCCATCACAATGGCAATACCAGTTGCTTCTTTAGTCCCGCCTAAATACTCGAGTTAGCAATATTGTGTCCTGATGACCCCAACATGTTGAAGCTACGTTCTTAAAGAAGCATCTTACTCAGATGCAGCTCTCCTTGTGAAACCCTCACACCCCGAAGGAAGTTACTGTAATCCCGTTTGCTTGTGCAAGAACAGACTGGTATTTCACATCCAGGAAAACAACGTACTTTCCCTGTTCAGCTTTTGCCACACAGCAGTTCCTGACGTGGTTTGTTGATTCACATCACAGGATCCAACTTCAGATTTGGAAGAAAACTTACAAGGAAGGGCAACTTGCTGGAGAACAGGATAAAGCACGAGAATACAGATAGCGTACTGAAATGGAGACACATCCTCAAGGCTTGTGGGCTGAGAGGCACTATGGAGGGATTTGAGTTTTGAAAAAGGATCATTAATGCTGGAGATAGAGAGTTTTGACAATTTTCGTGTGTATTCTGTGTGTAAGAAAGAATTAAGATTTTTTTTTTTCCTTTCAAATGTTTCCATTCCTTAAAATTGTTGATGGTTAAAATAGGAACATCCTGAGTTACAGAATTTCAGTCCTACTGTATCCTGGCCTAAAAATATAGAACAATCAAGCTGATTGTTGGAAATTAGAGGATGTGGAGGATTGGAAACATGCTAATGTTCACTGAGTAAAATCTTTCATTTTCAGTAGAGTTGTCCTTGCAGTTGAATGTCTCTGAAAAACTCAATGAAATAAACAGATACCACTTGCTGTCTCTCTGTTCTCCTGTGCATGTCTTGGAAAGAGAATGAGGGAGCCCCCTTAATTCACCAGCTTGCTTTTTTCCTCTCCTTACTAGTGAACAGTGCAGGTTTTTCTGTGTTAACTTGGTAGCCAGTCCCCTCATGCAGACCTTCTTCCAGAAACTGGGCTTTTGCTGTGTGTGAAAACAGGGACCCAAACTCAAGATCTCTATGTCAGGGCATTTTGTTGAACAACAGTTGCACCTTTAGTCTGGTCTAGGACTGTTGTGTCCTCATGCCCCTGATGTATGAAGCTACATTCTTAAAGAGGTATCAAACTTTATTGCTATTCCCCTTGTAAAATCCTCAAGCCCCAAGGGAAATTACCCTACTCCAGTTTGCTCATGCAGGAACAGGCTGGTGTTTCATATCCAGCAGAATAATTTACTTCCACCATTCAGCTTTTGCCACATAGGAGTTCCTGGTGTGGTCACTCACCGACTCAGTACCCTGTTTTCTCCCTAAGGACTTGAAAAATGTGAAAAGTATACTGATCTCTGTGCTCATGCTTCACTGAAAATACCTTGTCAAACTGGGCTACTACGAAGAGACATAGATGCAAAAGAATACTGCCTCCCTTGTTCTTCTGCCAAGTTTTGGAGAAGCATACTTAAAGATAATACAGAAAACTTAGCATGTTTGTTTGCCTCTGCTAAGATCATGGGTGTATATATATGTGTGTATATACATATATGTATGTGACATATTTGATGTATGATATTTATGATTTTATCAGATATAAATTAAAAGGAAGAAATCCATTCCCCAGGAAAAAACTTCCCCATCACTGAAGTGTCAGTCATTTGAAAAAAAACTTCCAAGTGCCCACAAGCAAAAGCTGTGACTAGTGATTTGTCAAAAATAAGCAGACCTTTTTATTTTGGATTTCAGGTTTTAACTGATGAGAATAATCTGGCTGCTTCTCGTGTGGGTCAGTCACTGGTACTGGGAATCACAGTACTGTATGCAGAAGGATGCAGCAGACCCTTAATCACAGAATCATCGAAACAGTTATTTGAGAGTTCCGATGATTCTTCTGTTCTGATACTCTTTGGGGTTTAAATGCTTAAATTTACTGTCCATTTGAAATGTGTCACTGCCCATCGCTTCACAAAGTATAACATGTGCCTTTCTTTGCAGTCAACGAGCTGTTGCCTCTTTGATGAAATGATTGCTACACATCCATCGCCCTGGTGTTCTGTTCCCTCATTTACAGAGATGAAAAAACGAGTCTAGCAGCAACAGATATGTGTTGTGGATGCTTCTCCACTATAAAGGATGAGTTTGTGCTGGGATCTCCTTATGAAGTGAAAACCAACCACACCTATACGGAGGAAGAGCATTAATCAGACCCAAGCTAAACAGCCTGCACCTCCTGACCGATGAGCACTGAAGCCACTTGAAATGGTCAGTCACAGGCATATTGTAACGGGATGTTCCTCCCATACGCACAACAAGATTTTAAAATGAGGAAAGATTTAAAATGTCTGAGGAAAGCCAGAAGGAGAAACTAAAGGTCAGTTAATTTATTTAAGCAAAGAGAACAAACTTAAGTGAATGGTACAGCTAGGATTAGAACCCATTTTTCACAAGGTAACAGTCTCATGATAAAGAAAAAGTGGGGAGTGTTTTAAGGTTAAGTAAGACCAAAGAGTCTTAGTGAGTCAACCTTGATGTTACCTGGGTTCGAAAACCAAAACTATAAAAGACATTTTTTGGAGAGTGTGGGAAAAGTATGAATATGGACTGGATATTGGATGGTACTAAGGAATTCCTAATTGTCTTAGGTATGATAAGGTATAATTATATAGAAGAATGGCCTCATATTTTTAGAAGTACCTCACTTTTTTTAAACTCACACTTAAGTAGTTAGGAGCAGTCTCTGGGTGGCTGTCAAATTATTTTAAAATAATTGAATAAAAAATATACATATATATTATATATAGTTACCATAATTAAGGCAAAAAGGAATAATTGTTGAATTTAGGTGGTATGAGTTAGGCATTCATTTTATTGCCCTTCAAATTTATGTCTGAAATTTTTCATAACGGTTTTTTTAAAAATGCACATCCCTGTAGTTAGGTGGCCTGGCTACATTAAATAGCTTCCTGGATTCCTAGAAGATGAAAGGGAATGACAGTAGGCTGCCTCGTAAGATATCAAGAACTATACCATGAGGGAGAGAAGAACTGTGGTAAAAAATAATTTGTTAAGGAGAACTAAGAGTACAAAGCCTTACCTTTGGCGTAGACACGGGAGGAGAATCTTAAGTAAACCTAACAGAAATCCCTAACTCATAAATGCAATTTAAGGAATTCCATTCTGGAAAAAAATTAGCATCTCACTAGTATTAATGTGTTACTTTGCCTCTGAGCTAGTCCTCCATAGACCCCAAAATCTCAGTACTCTTTTGATCCAACAAAATTGTCCCTAATGGAAAGTAACAGGGTTGGGAAAGTACTAGGGTTAGGAATGCATTTTCTTCAACTTATACCCAAACACTCACTTCCTTTGCACCATTTGCATGTATGTTGTGAGGTTTTTAAGCACCATTTCTAGTTGTCCTCCACCTGCCTGGGTACTTGATCACAGGATGCCTCAGGCTTCTCCTGCCATTGCATCTTTATCCACGCAAAGGATTTTCCTTGACTTCCCACCAGGAGTAACAGGGTTAATGCCTGCCCTCGCCTCTAAAGGGTAAAACCGAACATTTGTCTGGGCAACCCAAGAACAAGGAGAGTCCTGCGCGTGGCCCCCCTCCCCCCGGAAACAACACCAAATTTGGTGATGTCAGTATATGAATATATGAAATTTGCTCAAGCTCTGTCTGTTTAGACCACTAAGTAAATAACTTACAACCAGGTTTCAGCTTTCCTTTCTAGGTTGCCTTGAGTTTATTGTAAGACAGCATTCTAAAGAAAGAACAGATCATAAAGCTTCTTCAGGAAGCTGGTTTCATATGGTGGTTTAGATTTAAATAGTGATTGTCTAGCACCATTTGAAATCAGTGTTCTTGGGGGAGACCAACTGCGCTGCCAGCGACAAAGAAATGAATGGGACAGCCCTGAAGTATTTGAAAGCAAAGACCAAACGGCTGTGAGAACTTGCCTTACGTGTGTAGCCAACCCATTCCTTATTCCCGCCAACAGTGGTGTTATATCGAACAAATTACGGTCAGCCCTCTGCATCTGTGGATTCAACCAACCATGATAGAAAGTATTTTTAAAAAAATATGTTTGTACTGAACATGTACAGGCTTTCCATGTCATTATTCCCTAAACAACATAGTATAATAACTATTTACATAGTGCTTCCATTATATTGGGTGTTATAAGTAATCTAGAGATGATGTAAAGTATACAGAAGGCTGTGCATAGGTTATATGCAAATACTGCACCATTTTATATCAGAGACTTGAGCATCATGTATTTTGTATACATCGGAGGTGCTGGAACCAGCCCCCCCCCAATACTAAGGGATGACTATAATTATGTAGGATGTCATCTTATTAGAATTTGATACTTGTTTGTGTAATAACCCTGTAGCACTTTTTCTGTAATACAGACTCCATCGTGACTGGATTAAAGGGCTGAATGTATGGTGTATTTATTGAGGTGGGGGCGCTCTCAGCTCTCGCATCCTCCTGTGACCCCTTAGAGGATGACTGATTTCTTTTGGTGTTCAGAGTCAATATAATTTTCTAGCACCATCTGAAATCGGTTATAATGATTGGGGAAGAGCACCATGCAGCTGACTGACAAGAGAAAATATATTGCTGACCTTTGGAGCCACAGATAAGAACTGAGAAGACAGAAATACAAAGCAGAACTTATTACAGTGACTTTTTTTCTTTTTTCGTTTTTTAAATTGAGATTCATTGCCCTGAGTTACACGTGTGATACTACTAACAAATGGTTAACTATTAGCATGTTGCTGATGGCTCTATTTTAGAAAAATTCTGCAGAATTTGTGGGATTTTTGTTTTGGTGATAGAGACCTAGAAAAACTACTGGGGAAAGTTGATGACGGCCTTAGATGACTTGAAAGGGGCAGGGAAGGAGTCAGTCCCGTTCATGGTGAGAAGCTGCAAAGAAGCTGCGTCAGCTGGACTCTGAGCTCTCCTCTCTTGCCTGGAGCTCCTTCCGTGGTTAACCAGATTGCTTTCCGACAAGGCAGTCCGGGGCTCAAGTGGGCTAGAAGTTAAATTGGAAAAGGCACATAAAGAATAGTGGTACAAATAACTGTGTTTCTGTGTCTAAGGCAGAACTAAGTGAACGTGTGTGTCAGTTTGGTTTAGAAAGCAAGGTGAAGAAAGCTTAAACTATTGCCCTAAGTTATACCTTCTAACTAGAGTTGGGGTTGTTAGATTGAAAACAATACTGAGTTTTCTAGGTCCACAAGGAAAAAAAAATCGTGAGAATGACCGTCTCTGCCACTCCACCTCCTGGGGCATGGGTGCTGCCCCGACACAGGGACTGCCATGGACAGGCCCTCCTGCTGCCACCTGCTGACTCCATGTGGCGTCCTGGAGAAATGAAGGGGCACCCAGTGGGATTCAGGCCTTGTCCTTCCATTTCTCCTCTGGCCTGGAAAATGCACACAGCCAAACAATCGAGAGATGGTATCTACCCTGCTTAACAAAGCTTGTCAGTCCTCTCACAGCCTTCCTGCCTTTTCTCTCCTACTTAGCGTTTGTCTAGGAGAGGCCTTTTCTCCGGGGCTAAGACATGCAATTTGTAGCCAAAACTTCCTGTCTCCCATACAAATCAAATGAGAATTAGGGTCGTTTCACCACTTCTTTTTCTGTCCGACAGTTATCATTTCCCCAAAATTCTGTCGTTTGCTTTCTTACTCTCTGTTTTCCCTGAGTAATCTTATTTACTCCCTTGGTTCCAAATAATCCCTGTGTTCTGATTTCCCTCAAACTGGAGTTCTGGCCTCAGATATTTCTTCCAGAACTCTTGATTTCCATGTTTTCAAAGGCTCCTGTGTAGTTGAACCTGCCCATCTCCACCCATCTCAATTTAATATGGTAAAGTCATACCTGTTGTCTTCTCCCAGAGCCGCTCTTCCTGGTCTGGCCGTGGTGAAGCTCAACACCATGTGCCTCTTCCTGCCCCCTTAGCCGCATCCACACTCTGAGCTACCTCATCAGAGTCTGTCCTTTCCTCTGCATCCTCCCCAGCGTCCAGATGGCTTCCAGGCCCCACCCCTCACCAATAGTCCAGCTTTTGCATGGCCACCCATCATCCTTGTAAAACCCACATGTGCCTTTATTCCATCTCCCTCGCCATGTGCTGAACCCCAGATGTCTTGATCATATACAGGACCTTTCGTGTCCCCTACCCCAGCCTATGTCACCACCTTCTAGCTACGCTCATCACAGGGCCTGTTTTCTGTTTGCTACTCTGAATAGTCCCAGTATCTCCACGTTTCCCAGCCTGTGCATGTGCTGTTTCCTCTGCCCAGATCTCCCCTCTCCTCCAGCTTGGCAGCCGGGCAGCTCCAGCTCATCCTTCAGCCCCTGGCCCAGGTGTGTGGTTGTCTGGGAAGCTTTGGGGATGGCTGCTTCTCTGTGCAGCACCAGAGCCTGACGACACTTCCCACGCTGGACTTTTCTATAAAACGGGAGATGGCGTGAATGGGTGCGTTCAATGTAGGCAGCCACTACCAGGCCCTTTTGGTCCCCCCTTGCTGCTAGTCTTCATGCTCCATGGGATTCCCTCCCTGTGAGTGTGGACTGGACCTAGGGATTTGCTTCCAATGGATGGGATACAGCAAAAGGGATAGAAGGTCACTTCTGAGGTTAGGTTGCAGGTAGACAGTCATGTTCTTTCTTGTGTGCTTGCAATCTCTCTCTCTCCCTCCCTCCCTTCCTCTCTCCCTCCTCTCTCCCTCCCTTCTTCCTTCCTTCTCCTCTCTTGCCAGCTGCCACGTTGGGAACTGTGCAGTGGAGAGCCCCACATTCCACAAGGAACTGAGGTCTTCAGCCAATAGCTTGCAAGGACCCGACCCCTGCTAAGAGTCACAGGAGTGACCTTGGTGAGTCCTCCCTCAATGAGCCTGGAGATGACTGCAGCTCTGGCCAAACTGTGACGGCAGCCTTTGAGAGACCCAAAGCCTGAGGACACAGTTAAGCCATACCCAGACTGCTGACCGGAAGAAAATGTGACATAATGAATGTGTGTTGTTTTAAGCCACAAGGTTTTGGATTATTTGTTGTGCAGCAATAGATAATTATTAATAATACAGCTCATAATACCCATATCTAGCCTCAAACTTTCTGCTTTCAGTATCTAATTTTTTTAGATAAACTTTTCTGGGGGAATAATTTTAAATTTACAAAAAAATTGCACCAATAGCATGGAGAGTTCTTTTATACCCCTCACATAGTTTCCTCTATTGTTAATATCTTGTGAAACTATGGTACATTTGTTAATACTTGAAACCAACATTGGTACATTACTGTTAAGTAAATTTCAGACTTTATTTACATCTCACTAGTTTTCCCACTAATGTCCTTTTTCTATTCCAGGATTGGTGTTACATTTTTAATTCCTTCATAGGTATAACACCCCTCCTCAGGTACAACTCTGTATGTTTTAGAAAGAGAGAGAGAGAGAAAAATATATATATATATATATACACACACACACACACACACTTGCTAAAATTTGGGACATCTATCCATAGATAATAAAATAGTGTTAGCAAAGTCTTTAATTAGGTAGTCTCGTTTATAAAAATAACAATTACAGTAATTTAACTGAAAACTGCTATTTTGTGAAATTACTGGGGGGAAAGTGGGAGTGGCTCCAAATAAAAAAATGATAAGACCCTAACCAGTTAATAATATTTTTAAAAAGTCAAATATGCCTTGCTAAAAGGCAAAAAAATTTAATAAACTAAAATTTTAAAATTTGCATTAATAAGCATATCAAATATTACCCCAGATTCACAGATGGTTATTTTGCACTACGATGTTGGTACACATTAATTTTTATTTATATAATATGCAAATATTTAATTTTCTTAAAACAATATAAATGGAAAATATTCAACAAAAAATACTAATTTCCTTTTTTCTTAATTGCTGTGTAGTGTGATCCAAGTTACTTGGTCTTTCTGGGTCCATTTTGTTGAGTATCAATTATATTGTTAGAATTTTACAACAAAAGTTACATACTACACCCACTTAATAGTCATAAACACTCGCAACATGAAACTGTAAAAATACTATTCCCTAGTTGCTCAAACATTTAGTTGCATTATTTTGCAGCATTTCCAAGTCATTTCCAAGAACAATCCCTATAAAAGTAAAGTTCTCAGGAATGAGTGATGCTGCTTAAAGGAAAAAGGACCTCCTATTTATTGCATATACCCTTCCTAGTTGAATTGTTTAAATAGGATGTATAAATGGGAAAAATCAGGTGTTTTATGTTGTAACTGAGCTTTGGATAGATCCTTAAAAGCCATTAAGCAAGACAGGAATTTAAAACTTTTCTCGGTACCCTAATGAAAAACTCAAACAAAACATTTGAAACAATCCACAAAACAAAAACAAATTTGAACTCTGAAGCTAATTTACTCATATGAATCTGAGTCTCGGTGGCTGGGGTTTGCTGCTTGATTGACTCTGAGGGGCCAAGCTCTCCTTATAGCCAACTCACCTGCTTTTCAATAATTGACTAATGAAAGAAGAAAAAAAAAAACAGATAATAGATGTTGCAGAAGGAGGGGGTGCCAGAGGAGAGAGAAATGAAATATAGTTGGAAAAATGGAGCAAAATACACTGTAAGGACATTACTACCCATAATACTGAATTCAAGTTCTCTGTTTTGAAATGAAAATGTCAGATGTCAAGAAAGCAGGCTGTTACGTCTACTAAAACTGCATGCATGAATAATTTTTAATATTTTGAGGTTAGTTCATAATTTATTTCTTTCTATTGTGCCTAAAATATCATCTTGACTATTCAGAATGATGACAGATCCTCAATACTGTGGAAATCGTAAATCATCAAAGGTTTAAACTATTCACCATCGTATGCTTACTAAAGCACAAGAATGTATATGTTGTAGAGACTTTGTTAACAGCTCCTATTTAACTGAAAATAAAATAGAATCTGTATACTATATATACAGAATCTATTATACCATATTCTTTACAGTTTTTATTGAGGTAAAATTCACATAACATAAAATTCGTTTTAACCATTCTGAAGTGTACTATTCATTGGCTTTTAGTACATTCACAA